GGGGGGGGGGGGGTGGTTTGTTGTTTTGTTTTTGGTTTTTTTTTTTAATAGAAATTAATTAAGTCACCTGCACACCAGTAAGCTAAATGCCAGCTTAACTCTGGAAACACCGCTTAACCAGAACACAGTCACGTCCCACAGCACCAGCTCCCCCTGCGGAGCCCTTCATCACACCCCACACCCAGGACCGCGACCCCCACGTAAGCCACGGGGGTCCAGGTCCGCATCCCCCCTGCCCGGGGGTCCCCGCACCGCAGGGCCGTACCCAGAAAGCCAGGCTCAGCAGCAGCAGCACGGTCTTGGAGGTGATCACGCCGCAGTCCATGTCGTGGGGCTGAGAGAGCAGGGCTGGGACCAACGAGCAGGGACAGGCTTTGGGTCTCGCGTGGGGCCGCCCCTGGGCCCGCCCCATCTCTTCCCCCCACCCAGGGCGGGGGCCAGTCAGTGGTTCCTTATGGCCAACAAGGCACTTTCTCAGGCAAGGGGTTGGGGAGCGCCGAGAACAAACGTCAAAGCAAATTATTGTTGGCTTCGACGTGCCTTTTTTTTTTTTAAAAAAAAAAAAACTTTTGCAACATTCATTCTTAGTTAAACAGAGCTTTTGTGCGGCTAAAAGCTTTCCATCAACTCTGCCTTCCCGGATTGCTAACCCACAGCTGTGTATCTCCCTTTCTCAGCCTTTCTGGGTCTGGTACCGTCTCACACCCATCTTTTCAATCGCGTGAGCCACGAAAAGCAGGAATACAGCTACAACTTGGGTTTGGATACTCAGCAGTATGTCCTAACCGCTGAAATGTGAGGCTGAACAGCCACAGGGAGAGAGGGATTTCAATCTGGTGGCTGCAGAGGGCATGAAAACATTGCTTGCTTTTCATCAGCCAAACCTCGTGCTTTTAAAAACAAGTCAAAGGTGTAGGGCTGGCAGCCAGGGGTTTGTTTTGTAAGGAGGACCTGAACTGAGCTGAACTCAACTCTCCGCTGGGCTGCAGGATGCAACGATAACAAGTTTCCAGTCTTTTCCCCTTCCTGACAAAAATACATGTGAGCTTTCCTTCGGGGGATACGGATTTTGGGGAGGTTGTGCTGAAATAGCTCTCCAGCGGGAAATCACAGAGATTACAAAGTCTCTGCCCCACAGATCATGAATTTATGCCACAGGAGGGCCTTGTGCCCGCTGCCAAAATCACAGAAAACCCCACACAGAAAGTGGGGTGAAGCCGATCTGCAAAACTAAGTTCCTTTAAGAGTAAAGATCAGTGCACTCAGATCTTGATGACTGCTGACAGAGCCCCTCCTGCCAGCAAACCCGGTTTTGTTGTGATAACGTCTATTATAGCAATAAACATTAAGAGTGGAGTATTTCTTCATTTAAAAAAAAGCCAGTATTTTCACTTTTCCTTGCAGCGTGGCAGGCTGAGGTGTTAATAAAGAAAGGAAAACACCTGGAAACAGTTTATCTTCATAATTTTGTGCGAATGACTAGGGGAAATACTCTGAAGGAGAATGAAAGGGCAAATCCTGAAGTTTCGTTTGAAATTAAATGTAAAGGAATAAAAAAAAAAAACCACCCAAAAACCAACCCAAACAACAGGGAAACCACCTTGCCAACCAAACCCCATCTTTCTTTAATCTCAAAATACTGTTTCCATTTTGGTTGCTTGTTAGTTCTCTATTTTATTTTAAAATAAAATAAAGGTAGTTTCAGAATGAGAACAAAACAGCATTCTTAATCAAAATGTTACCAGCTGTATGCTGTTTCTTTCAAAACAAAATTGTTATTAAAATCAACAACGGCTGCTTCTGTATTAAAGTTGGCCTCAAAAGTAACTTGCCAGAACAAGGATGTGCCTGTGGAAATGTATCCCAACCATCGCAGACAGCCGCAGTTATATTCTGCATCATTCTCAACCAAATTAGTTTTAAAATCAGGAATTTCCCGTTGAACACGGGATTTCCAAAAAGCAGTAAGCTGAAAGTTTCAGTCAGCTTTGGAAAGGAGTGAGGAAAAAAGGGAAATTAGAAGTATCTAACACAATAAGAGTTCCAGAGCTGCTCTTTGCCTTGGGACCTTTTGCCCTGGATTAACTGGGTGGGTTTGTCTGGTTTAAGTCTGACTACATTAAGAAAACAACCTGTTTCCCACTGATTTATTTATTGCCTGTTTTGCAACATGGAAGCTCAACATTTTGCACTGGAAGGAAAAGGATCTTTTTTCCCTTATCCACCAGGCAACAATGATGTAAAGATAAAAATTCCTTTCTGCACATCAGACCCTATATCTGAAAATATCACTTTTTAATTTTCTTCCTGCTAGACTAAACAACTTGTCAGCTCTGGTATTTTCCAGAACTGATTCTCTCCCATGAAGCCCCATTTTTCTTGAAATGCCTAAAAATGGGGAGCATGTTCCCTCAGGGTTTAGCTGTGCCAAAGAGGACACTGCAGCCCGCTGGCTTCTCCTGCAGCGCCGTGGCATCACTGACTCACTTCCACCTTGTGATCATCTATTAATCCAGATCTATTTCTGTCAAAGCAACCACTTCCGAGTCAGCTGCCCTTGTCCCTTCTGCACCATATCTGATTTTTCAGCCCCTTTCCTCCAAATCCTCAAGACCATTTGGAGACTCCATCCCCACCCCAGTCTTAGCCCTTGCCACCTCCGTGTGCTCTCCAGATTTAATTTCTCTATTCTCTCCTCCAGGTTATTACTGAAATTAAAACACAGGAGCCCAGGTGACAGCAAACCACAAATGACTCTCACTGGGCTGAAGATCACTCCCAACAGGCAGTGGGAATGAAGCTGCCGTGGGGTGCAGGGAGGTGTTAAAAGCTTTATCATATGATATTTATTGCTTCTTTCCCCACGAGGCCTGTTACCCGTCACAGAAGGAAATGAGATTAAAGTGAAACCATTTGCCCTTGACAAATCTACATTGACTGGTATTTAGCTCCATATTTTCTTCTT